CAAGGTCGGCACAAGGCCTAGGGCTAGCATTGTGATGGCCGGGGTCGGGGACGACGACTACGCGACAGGGACTTGTTACGACTCCGATGCTCCGATGGAGAAAAAGGGAAAAATGAGAATAGATAAATTAATTATGACAGGTAGGTCAATTGTGCTGGGAGAGATTGTTGGTGATCAGATGTAACACCTCTCCAAATAGTCTAAAAATTAATATTGGATCACCCCATTATCACTTTATTGGAGGAGCTGAGGAGCAGTTGGAGATGCTCTAACCCATTGACCCGGGTTCCAGCATGGCCTATAGAATCTTACATCATATAAGTATTATTGAAAGTTATATGGATTAGTACATATAACTAATCAAAATTAGTTATCTTTACTATCTACATTTATTCATAACACAATACCAATTTAGGTACTCTATAATCTCAATCCAGTTGTGGTAAATTTACTGATCACTCTATGTCTGTTTTCATCGTTTGACTGCACCTATATGGGTTCTTTAAAAATGTGTTTACTAAACCTTACATTATGTTATATTAGCCTTTTTTGCATCTTTTTTTATATAATCAATGTATATTTTGTTTTTGAACTTTTGATTTTATTAGTTACTATATTTTTTTTACGTTTGATACACCTTTTTTTAGAACCATACATTTGATACACGCAGGAGACAAATATATGAGGGGAGCCATCTATTCATTAGTCAATATAGATGTACATGTAATCCCATTATATAGATGCCTTCAGGGCATATAGGGTAGCCACCCTGGGATATATGGTATGAGCCTATCAGAACATATATGGTAGCCTACCTAGCATATATGGTATATATGAGCCCATCAATCCTCTAATTGAGGAATTCTTAACATGATACACCTACTTTGTCTCTTAGAGAAGACAGGAAATAAACCGATCCAAACAAATTTTAGCCCGACCTTCTCCAATTTTTCTGCTAGACGCTCTGTTGGGCCACTTTATGCACTTCCGTTGCAGGCCCACGGAGCCTCATGCTTCAATGTTCTCCTGGGCCAACGAGTTGCTCTGTTGGGCTACCTTGTTGCCACTTTTCTTTTCCGAAAAAAAGAGTTTATTTTAGCTTTATGAACTATTATCGGAGTCCATCTTAGGCGGAGGCAAGATTTTAACCATAGAGGTGGCTATTTTGGTAATAACAACAACAATAACCACACATATTTCTCAAAAAAAAAAACAATAACCACACATGATGAAATGCGCGCGTGTGCAAATACCTATATCTATATTAAGTTGGCAAGGGTATATATAACAACCAAATTAATGTTTATTTTGCGATCGAAAGGAAAGCTAAAAGTATAAAATTACACAGAAAGTTATAGAGAAAGAAGGAAGAAAAATTTAGTTAGCTCTAAGTCTCTAATCTCCACTCAACTAACCTAATTCATAAGCAAAAAAATCACTGTAACAACAGGAATAAAAAGAGAGGGGAAGATAAAGAAAGATAATCTTAAAGCATATAGATGCCATTAGAGATTAACAGGGAGAGAGAAAGTTGTTGGACGAAATAGGGAGAGAGAAATAACAACACACGCACTAATTAATGTCATAACTAGATAATTGGATGTCTATTATGTACTAGATATAATGCATATCTATATAAGTAGCGAAAGATATATATAGAGAAAAAAAATCAGCGGTTTACAATTTTAAATGGATGGAGTAATAGATACTCCCTCCATCCCAAATTATAAGTCATTCTAACTTTCTTGAAGAGTCTAAACATCTCAAGTTTGACCAAATTTATATAATAAAATAATAACATTATGATACCAAATAAATATCATTATATTCTTCATTAATTATATTTTCAAAGTATTTCTCTTTGACGTCATAAATCTTTATAATTCTCTCTATAATTTTCGTCAAACTTGAGATGTTTTTACTCTAAAAAAATTAAAATGACTTATAATTTGGAATGGAGTATTATATATGGTGGGTGGCTGTTGTGGGAAACATCATGTCATGCATAACGAGGGTGGGTTTTGACGGTGACCATGAGGCGAGAGAACTAGCCAGATCGGAGAGAGTGCAGCACTGCAGCAGCCGGTGGTTTCAGGGTGGGGAAGTGTCATACAATACGAACCAGCCTTTGCAGTCATTGATTTTGCCTGAGGTTGAGGAAGAAGCTAAGGCGGTGTTTGGATTAGGATGGGGATGGGGATAGGGATAGGGATAGAGATATTCAATCATAGCCATCCATTCTTACACCTCATTTAATCCTAGCTATTCATTCATTTTTCTTTTCCTATCCCACTTTTTATATCCCAATATCCAAACGCCACTCGGAATAGCAACCGTCAGCACGTACAGAGTTAAATCATGCGCCGCTACTTCTGCTAGTGGTAAAAAACCACTGCATTTTGTTTCAAAAAAAAACACTGCATTTGCTAGTGTTGCCTACTTCTGTTAGTGGATCACAGCCCGGTTCCTAAAAGGATTGGAGGGAATGAACGGGACCTACTCCCCTTAATTTCTTTTAATCCCACTCCAGTAGCCTAATTCCATCGAATCGAAAACGAACTGATTCAATCAGAGTACATAGAATTAGACTTAGGGCGTGTTTGAGCTCTAAATTTTAGTCACTCCTGTTTGATTTGTGGACTAAAAAAACTGTTTTAGTCCTTTTTAGTCAGGGTGTTTGAATTCAAAGTGACTAAAATGTGAGGCAGCCGGACTAAAAGATGGGCTTTAGTCCCATTTAGCAACACTTAGGTGACTTGTTCGCTAATGTACTTTTTAGCCCCATTTAGTCATAGTGTTTAGGTAAAAGTGACTAAATGAGATTAGATTTAGGAGGCGAGCAGTGAACCAAACACCCCCTTATCCGCGAAGCGTGACGTCAGCAGGCGCCAGTGGCTGAATGGGCCTCGCGTGTAGTAGTTGAAGTACATGGTTACGGGCCTGCGTACCCTGACTAATGCGGCCCAGCCTGGCCTTGTAAACGAACCCGGCCCCAAATTACTATCTCTTCTACCCAGAAATCCCAAATTCCCCTTCTGTTTCTTGCTGTGTTCATCTGTGATCATAACAGACATGCATTTGATCTGATCCAAGCGCGCGTAGGCGTAACCATGTCAATGGAAACATCCATTAGAATCAGAATTTGGAAAATCTGCATCAATTTCTACCATCCATCGGGCATCTAGCTAGATCAGAAGAAGAATCTCATCTCATTGCTAACAAAATCCATCCCACAACGCCAAACGTACGTGTATAAACAAAAGAAGAAATGAACCCACGCACGCTTTTACGCCAACGAATGGAAGGAATTGGACCCCCAATGCAAGCTACAGTGCCAGCAACCAGCCAGCCTACTACTGATCAATTGATGCGACGAGCGGCTAGTTGACGGCGGTGCAGACGCGGCGTATCTCGCCGTCGCTGCCGGTCTTGACCCCGATCCTGCCAAGCTTGGCCATGGCGGCGACGAAGGCCTCGTTGAAGGCGGTGCTGTTGGCAGCGAAGAGGTTGACGGTGGGTCGGGATCGGCGGTCGGTGAAGAGCACCTGGTCGGACGCCAGCAGGCCCTTGTTGTAGCGGAGGTTGTTGAAGTAGGCGTTGTCGAAGACCTTGGGCGTGGTGACGTCCAGCATCGCGAACGCCGTGGGGCTGTAGTTGATGGGGCACACCAGCCGCAGCGACCGCAGGAAGTCGAGGTTCATCGGCGGGTTCCACGCCAGCCGCTGCTTGAACGTGTAGATCCGCCGCACGAACTTGTCGCAGTGCGTCACCCCGATCGTGTGCGCGCCTGCAGTGTAGTATATGGCATTGCATTGCTTGCTTGGGTTAGAACATGATGATCCATTGCCTCACAAATCACAATGCATGTCTTATTTTTCGTGTTCAAAAGCCTGTGGAATTAAAGACCGGAGCTGGCTTTTTTTTGTCATCCATTCTTTGTAGTCTAGCAGTAGTAGTCCTGCTTTGCATGGACAACATTGGGTGGTTCAGTCAAAAGTAACTGCTGCTCGTTTGGATTTTGTCGCTGGGGAAAAGGCTTCGTGTGTTCAAGTGCTTGTGTAGATCCAAAAGTTTCTCAAAAAGTGCTTCAGTAGCCATCACATTGAATCTTGCGATACGTGCATGAAGCATTAAATGTAGACGAAAAAAAACTAATTGCACAGTTTGGTTGGAAATTACGAGACGAACGCTTTGAGCCTAATTAGTCCATGATTGAACAATAATTGCCAAATAAAAACGAAAGTGCTACCGTAGCCAAATTCCCAAAATTCGCGAACTAAACACAGCGCAAATCTGAATCCAGAGGTTATTTTACTACTGCTAAACACTTGGATCTGACAGGAACCAAGAACATTCAGACAAAGGTGTCCCCTGTTCTCATGTACTATAAACGTCGTTTTTTTATTATTCCCAACACTGAATCAAAGATAAAACAAAACCAAAACATGGTAGCCTAATCAATGTAAACCCCAACGGTCAGTAAACAACACACTAAAACCCCTCAAAAGTTCACAAGGAATAATCTTTGTTTATACGAACCAATCAACCAACCTCCCTAGAAATGAACCAGAAGCCAGCAGGGTTAACTTTTTGCAAAGCTGTAGGCCGGCGTCTGTGATTGCGGGATTACTTTACCACTTTCTCTCTTTCTTGCAACACCAACACAGAGTACTCTGCACTCGTGTTTTTTCTATTGTGTACGTACGTGATGGTTTTCCCAAATCACACAAGACGGGGGAAGGTTTTCTGGCTTTTTACGAAAAGCACAGAGCGGTTGCAGTATAGAACAGCGGACCACTTTGTCTTGGTGCCGCAAACAGAGGATAAAGTCACGTGAGCCACAGAGAGCACGAGAAAGATGCTTCGTACTGCGACCAACCGACCTTGTTACAGTAGTTTTTGCTACAACCAAAAGAAAACAGTAACGAGGAGGCTCACTCCCACGGTTAATTTAATTTGGTTTTTTTAATCTAATTGACAGCCTAGGTTGTCTTGTGAACTCAGGATTCGTAGACGCCCAATGGTCTCGACGGACTAGACCTGACAGCGCTGTGGAGAGGAATACAGATACAGGGTGAGCAGGGCAGAGACGAACCTGAGAGGGCGATCATGTCCGTCTGGGTGAGGCCGTTCTGAGCGAAGAGGGAGTTGAGCTGGTCCAGGTTGAAGCCGGGGCCCGGGAGGACGTGCTTCACGATGGCCCTGTTGAACGTCTTGCCGTCCAGCCGCCCCAGCTCCACCGCGTAGTTTGGCCCGCCCATCTGCAAACGCAAGTGCAGTGCAGGGTGAATTTCTCTGGTCTTTCAGGGAAGGTACCGTCTGTATACCATAGCAGCTCTTGGTCGAACTAGTAGCTAGTAGTAGTGGTGTGGTAGGAGTAGTGTGCATGCTGTAGTAGAGGAGTACTGGATGAGTAGTAGTATAATAATATAGCCTGCATACAATTGTCCGCATCCCGTGGCTACAGTCTACGGAGTGGAATTTTTTGTCCCCTGCTGGCCTCTCAGTCGAGACGCTTGCAAGAGCGGACATCGCGTATCGCCGTCGTCAGTGCGTCACGGACGTACACCTACGAGAAGGAAACTCTTCGCTACGCTAGCTCGGCCGCAGCACCGGGCGTCACGGGCAGGATTAGGAATAGGAACACCCCAGACACGGCCTACGTACACGGCTGCTACCGTACTAGTAGGAGCACAGAGGTTTTGCTGTATGGTCCTTGGACTATTCTACTGCACAGTACTCTCTAATGTCTCATGTGATGTCATGTCACTGTCTCAAGCCAGCGAAGCCGTTGCCCAAAGCCCCGGTGCCCGCGCATGCTCTCGCCCCGTACGCTCGGAACGGCGCGGCAACAGGCAGGCACTGCGGCAGCGCGGGGCGCGGTGTTCCGCCTTGGCGTCCGCGTCCGCGGGCCAGCGGCGGCTGACACGCAGCACATGTCCCTCTGGGCGAATCGGGGTGGTGCGCCGCGCTGTGCAGGCCCCCCGGCGCCCGGTGCTACGGGACCGCGAGTCCGCGACCGGCTGGCTGCGGCCGTCGAGGAAAAAAAAAGTCACTGGCACGCAGGCTTGGAACAGTGCCAGTGCGTACCCCGGGGCCCGCCTGCCATCAGACGGACCGGCGTGGTGGCGGGCCTTGCCGCGACCTACTCTGGGTCACACAGCTTCACAGGTCACTGGGATATACGTACTAGTAGAATGGTAGTAATGCACGGGACGGTGAACTGAACCGACCAGCACGGCGAAAGCTTGGCGTGGCCCCGTGCGTGCCTGGCCGCGGACACTGACACCGGTGTGGCCCCCCCTACGTGACGCGGTGAAGCCGGTAGGATGGCTGGTGGTGGAGCAAGCAAGAGCCAAGAAAGAGCAGGGTAGGAAGGTTTACCAGGGAGACGACGTCACGTGCGGCCATGGCGAGGATGTCCGCGCACGAGACCTTGCCGGCACACCCGGGGAGCGCCTCCACGGCCGCCTTCGCCTTGTTGATGGCGTCCACGGCGTCCGGCGACAGCGTCGCGTCCGCGCCGCTGTGGTTCTCGTCGTCCCCGTTGGGCGCCATCAGCATCACCGACGCGTCGCATCCCTGCAATATAATGCAATTTCCCCACGGCACAAGGCATGCAAAAGCTCGGTCAGGCTGAGAGACGAACAGGCACGGACCAAGCGGCAATACCCCGAGCTGCCTTAGTGCCTTACTCTGACGAAGCAGTCGTGGAAGAAGAGGCGGAGCGTGCCGGGCCCGACGGCGAAGCTCTGCTGGAGGCGCTGCGAGATGACGGAGCGCACCGTGGACTCCGCGCTGGGGCACGAGCTGCCGTAGTAGTTCTGCCGCAGCTGCGCCCTCGCGGCGCCCACCATGCCGCCCAGCAGCACGGCCACCACCGTCACCAGCGCCGCGCCGCGCAGGAGGAGGAGGAGGCCGCCGGGTCGAGCTCTCGCCATTGCCGCCTGCCCCTGGCCTTGGCCTCGCTAGCTAGCTCGGTCGCCTCGCCGCCCTCGGTGCGCGCGGCTGCGTGCCACTGACACTAGCGTGCGTGCGTGGGCGGGGGCTCTGGCGCGAGGAGAAAAGTGCGGGAGGTTGCCGTTGATATATAGTAGGAGAGGACGGCTGCTCCTGGTGGTGGTTACAAACGACGCGCGCGCGCGCGCAGGTTAGGGGAAAGGGGGCTAAAAAAAGAAGCAGGGGTGGCGCCGGGCGCGGCGCTATAGGCTGCTGCGGCCTGCGGCAGTGCGAGTGCGTCGTGGGGGACGACTGGGGATCGGCCTCTGCCTCGGCCTCGTCAGTCGTCACGGCGGAGATCGAGAGAGTGGCTACACTACCCGAATTTTTTATTTATTTGCCTTTTTAAAAGTTTTATGTTTTTAAAATCTGAACCATTAACTCGGCGTCATCGTTGCTTACACGTCTCGGCGTCAAAGGGTTTGGCGCCTAGGTCGGGGGGCTACGTCGGCATCAAAGTAGAGCCGGGAGTGACATGGCAGCCAGCTCGGCGCCGTGAATCTTGGCGCCAAGTTGCCGTAGATCTTGACGCCGAGTTTGGCGCCATAGATTCTGGCGCCGAGCCGGCCTTCCAGGTGGGTCATTTTCCTTTTCTCTTCCTTCCTTTCCTTTTCCTCTCTTCCTTTCTTCTCTCTCGCCCGATGCCTCCCCCGCCGCACCTCTCGTGCGTCCTTGTTGGGGACCTCTCCATGTCGGCGAGGCGGAGATGGCTGGGGAGTCGCCGGCCTAGGCCATAGGCGGCGCGTGGAGGTCACAGCACCACCGACCAAGGTCGATGCTCGGAGGTCGCGGCCCCGACGGCCGAGGGCGGCGTGCGAAGGTCATGGTCCCCACGGCCTATGGTGCGCGTGGAGGTCGCAGCCCAGCGAGGAGGCGTCGTCGTCTTTGCAGATCCGTCTCTGCTGAGCCCTATGCACGGTGAAAGTCCTCTCTCTGTCTTCCTCTGTTGTGTCTTTTTTTCTCCACTTCTGTATGCAGTAGAGTCACTTGCAACTTGTGACAAGTTAAATAAACTAGGTGACGAATTGATCCTTGCAGATCCAGAGGCCTGAGGGGTGTCATGTGTTCTCTTAGTTTCTTCATTAGGAGTGGCAGCGGCAGCAGCATACATGTGTTCTCTTAGTTTCTACAATGTTATTTCTGGAATTGAGATGTCATACATCTTCAGTTATTTCTGGTAAGTGACCACCTTCACTTATATCCCGAAGGGATGAATAAGCTTCGTGGATTAATTTTATTAACGTTGATTTGGTGCTCAAACTGTAAATTTCAGATAATTGATAGTATGTTCAGTAAAAACTAGGTGCTAAACTGATTAGGATGCAATGTGCTCTGACATTTAAAGAGAATAGAGCGTGTGGCCAAGACGGGCGCACACGGTGTCCACGGTAGCAAAATTATTTTCACTCCCTGATTTCGATGAAGCGGTGCTCTGTCTCTCCTCCCGAGCCACTCCATGACCAAATATATACTGGGTCCAAACCCTAGCTCTCTCGCGTCCCTGATCCGTGCCTCCTCCCTCTCCCTCCTTTCTCATGAAATGGGCTTGGCGGCTTCCAGCGAGGCCGGCTCTCTGGCGTCACTTGATCCGCGCCCTCCTCTCCCTCCTTTCATGGTGGCGGGCGCGGCTTCAGTGAGGCCTGGGCACAGGCGCCCAGCGACATCGCGCGCCCTAGCATATGCCGGCAGCGCGGAGCCCAGGCGGCGGCATTAGTGAAAGCACGCCCGGACGCAGTTCGGGCGAGCACGCCCGGCTCCTCCCGATCCCTCCTCCCTCGGATTATATGTGTGAGGTGGAGGGCGCCCCGGCTGCGGCATGGTTGGCAGACCCCTATGCCGAAGTTTCTTCTTCCTCTGGTGATTTTGGGCGGATATTCATGGATCCGTGCTTTTGCTTTGAGATTTCTTGATTCTCGAATCTAGGCGTGTGTATCAAAGACGGCACCCCGCATGAGGAAGGCCCTTCATGGCGGCCTCCTGTCTGTGGCCGCATGGAAGACCCAACAACCATCCGTCACGGTTCCATTGGGATTTCATCCTTAACACATAGCAAGGACCTAAGCTTTACAAGCGCAAACCTGACGTATTTGATTCTTGTTAATTTTTTTGTGAATCTCGGGTTTAGTCTAATTATTGCTTTGTGTTGTGATTAGGCCTGCAATGTGATTGTTTCCTTGGGGTTTAGGGTTTCAAGAATTGCATTTTGATGTTGCTTTTTGGTCATTAATTTTGTCAAGGTGTCCATATAGAATTGTAGAGTAATTAAAAGGTGCTGCCGTGTATGCATCCTCTGTATATGATCTTTCAACTTTTGCTCTGATCCTTTATTTATTTTGCTTCTAGGTTTCTAGCTCAAAGTTAACATTTTCTGAATTATGAAGCATTTGAAATGCCATCCGAGAGTTAATGTTCGAAAAAGGCGACTTTTAATCATGCTAATAAAAGTGTTCAAGAGCTGTGAATAGTTGGATAAAATGCTAAATTTATTATGTTGTTAAATTCATGCTAGTTTGTGTCATGTTACACCCCTAGACTACCATTTTACAAATGAAAATATTTCAATATTCCATTATACAAATATGATGTAATTGAACTTGCATATTATTACAGGATGCTTGGCCTGTAATGGTTTTTGGACAATAATCATGTCTCTATAAATGAATAGATGAGATGTTGATCTCATCTATGTTGCTTGTACCAAAAGTTGGCTTGAGTGCACTGTGATATTAATCCAATCCAAGCAAGTTTGGTGATTCGATCTTTGATTCGTGTGTGTCGCTAGGCAGGTTGGCGGCTGCTAGGTGAGGGTTGTGTCATAGTCTGTGAGGTCGTATCGAGGCGGTGGCGGACATTGGCTGTCCAATTAAAGTTTACATGGATGTTGCAGTCGAGGCACTGAGAGAACCACGACTTGAAGCTTCATCAAATCCATCTGAAGCAATCAAGTTTAGCTCTCTACCTCTATTTATCTCAATCTAACCAAACACAATATCACGTGTGATTCATTTAGGAAAGAAAAATACTTTTGAAATCATCTATATTTTGCTATGGAAATAAGATCACCGGGATGCTTTTGGACATGTAGTATTACATCCGTCTAGCATGGTAGCATTGGTATTTCAAATTAGGAAAAAGTTACTCTTTACAACCTGCATTTATGTCTAGGCAAATGGCATGACAAGTCGCCGATTTTGCAACCTTCAGAGCAGTAGTACTGACTAGCTAGCAGCGAGGCGAGCGGCTGACCTGCACTGGGAGCTGCCTGCAGAACAGCAATTGTACTTGTCTACTTGAGCATGGCTTGCTAGCAAGGTAATCATTACATGGAGCCACCTCAAAATCAGGGTATTTTGGTTTACTATCTTTAATTTCTGAACTATATCTTTGTATTGGCTTCTTTGATTCCTATTGTATGGTCATCCACATTGATTATAACTTTTTGTTTGGTATATGACTTCGCTTTTAGCTAATATATGAACTCTAGCACCGGGTAAATGTATAGCTTTTTCAAGAATTTTGATTGCTACAATGCTATGTTGTTGCACCAATTTTAATTTTAATTATGTGTAAAGTAGCAATTGTCTACAAACAGAGACTAAGTCGCTATGAAATAGTCGTGCTAAATGCTATTCATAACCATGAGAAAACATCTCCAACCCAAATATATGGATAATAGATGTCTTTATACTTGATGCAAAGATAGATATTTATATTTCTTTTATTCCATTGCAAGAAGGCTTATAGTTTTGTAATTAGTGCAGGAGATAGTTATTAACGCCATTTCGTTGTAGGAAAGGTCTTCTGAAGCGATCCTGAAAGTGAGTTGCATGCAAGCTCTGGGCCAAGTATGTGTTCCTCTCTGTCTCTTTGCCAATATGATGCCAAAGGTGAATGGATGGATTCTTTTTTTGGGATGTAAAATCATATATAAGTTTGGTTTTGCCTTCCAAGATGAAACTGAATTTGACATTGGTATCTCGTGATTTATGTTGCCTCGGTATTTGGGAAGGCCTAGAATTGAAACACAAATGATGTTCTGGCGGTCCTTTTTGTTGTCAACTTCTGATCCGGTCGTCTGGTGATTATCACAAAAGAAGCAAATGGGTACTTGGGTAGCGGTCTATAAAAGAACTTTCTGAATATATGATGAACTATGTAATTTTTGGCATGGATAATCTGATATGCACATAAAAGAGTGCACATCCTTATATTAATTTTAAAACAATGGCAGATTGAACTTGATAGTGGCTACTTAATGAATCATGGTTCGAGTCATCATCATTTGAACAGGGAAAAATGGGCGTCTTTTAACAGATGCGTGTGACTGATTTTGCGCAGGTAGTAAAAGATGAAAATAGTTTGTCCCAAGTTGATTCTCTACTTGCCGGAGGCCTTTCTCTAGCTGATGTATCAAAGAAAACCTCATCTTGTGTGTATGACTGGGAGTCACCAAAATTATCTAGAATTTTATCAATCAATATTTTCTTCAAAAGATGCAGGAAAAATTGTGTACCATGTCATTTATCCTTTCTTTCCTAAATCTATGCTGTACTCAAAGGCTCCAACAACATCAAATTATGTTAAAATGCTACTTGGTACTGTCAACCATTGCATTGCCTTCACAGGCAGCAAGTCATGTGGGTTGTTTTACTGCATGGGTATATATATTTTATAGCTTATTGTTAATAACTGTCAAGTAGGTACTCCCATTAGTTATGTGACCATGTAACACTTGGGTTGCAGAATGCTCATTGTGTGAGGCGTGTTTACACGCCTCTGCTCATGCATATGTCAACAGAGAAGAATTATATTGTCCCTTACATAGAGTGGTTCAGCAACCTCTATATTACTTATATGTCATTGTTGATGTACTATTTATAGGTCATAGTTTGGAGGTCAGAACAATGCGAGCAACAGTAAAAACATGTTGCGTGCACTGACT